CCCCCCCGGGACCCCCGGGACCCCCCGGGACCCCCGGGACCCCCCGGGACCCCCCGGGACCCCCCGGGACCCCCCGGTGTCACCGCCCGGGCTGGGGGGGACAAGGGACACGGGACACGGGGGGGCGTCAGCACAGCCGGCCCCGGGGGGGGCGGGATCCCAAACTGGGATCTGGAACTGGGATCCAAACTGGGATTTGGTAATGGGATCCAAACTGGGATCTGGAACTGGGATCAGGTAATGGTATTCCAAACTGGGATCCCAAACTGGGATTTGGTACCAGGATCCAAACTGGGATCCCAAACTAGGATCAGGTAATGGTATTCCAAACTGGGATCTGGTATTGGGATCTGGAACTGGGATCTCGTAATGGTATTCCAAACTGGGATCCCAAACTGGGATCTGGCACTGGGATCCCAAACTGGGATTTGGTGCTGGGATCCCAAACTGGGATCTCATATTGGGATCCCAAACTGGGATCTGGCACTGGGATCCCAAACTGGGACCTAGAGCAGGGATCCCATACTGGGATATGTCCAGAGTGGATCCAGTCCAGATCCACTCTGGGATCTGGCAATGGGATTCTGTACTGGGATCCCAAACTGGGATCCCAAACCGGGATCCCCAACTGGGATCTCACACAGGGATCCCCAACTGGGATCCCCAACTGGGATCTTGCACAGGGATCCCCGTTCCCCTGGGGACACTCCCTGGTCCTCTGGGGGTTTTATGGCCTGGTCATTGTCATCGTCATCATCTTCATCATCATCGTCATCGTCATCATCATCTTCATCATCATCATCATTGTCATCCTTGTCATCATTGTTATCGTCATTTCATCATCATTGTCATTGTCATCATCATCATCGTTGTCATTGCTGCCATCTTCATCATCGTCACCATAACTGTCATCGTCAGTCATTGTCACCGTTGTCACCATTGTCACCATTGTCACCATTGTCACCATTGCTGCCGCCATCATCTTCCTCATCATTGTCATCATTGTCATCATCGTCATCGTCGTCATTGTCAGCCAGGATTGTCACCGTTGTCATCATCGTCATCGTCGTCATCGTCATCATCTTCATCATCGATCTCCATGTGGGGACACGGGGGGGACACGGGGGGGACATTGGGGGACACGGGGGCACTTGGGGACACTGTGGGGTGACACGGGGGTGGGATTTGGGGACACTGTGGGGTGACACGGGGGTGGCACTTGGGGACACTGTGGGGTGACA